CCACGTCCGGAAGAAGCTCTTCACTTTGGTGGGTGTCAAGGTCCTGCAAGGCCGCAGCGCTCCTTTCCCAGAGATTTGATCAAATGCTGGGGCTGCAGCTTCTTTGAGGCTACCCTTTGCAGGTTGGTTTAACCCTGAAAAGGCAGCCTAAGTAAACCCAACGAGGATCTAAGATGTGAATATCTTCTGGGAGTAACGGAACGAGTCAAGTCGCATTCAGAGATTGCTATATCACGGAAAGGGGAAGTTTCGCGCAAAGGGTAGCTTCTGCCACATTTTGACCTGCAAGCCAGGTCTTCCCTGGTTTAATGATCTCTCGCCAACGCCAACAAACAAAGATCACGATATAAACGAAGGAACAGTGATACTTGTTGCCTGCTCCCCAAATCTACTGTGGATAACTGAGAACGTGGCCTTTGCCATCGCCCTCAGTCAACGGCAAACTGATGTCAATCAGTTGCCCGTTGCTCAACTGGCCTTGGTGGCTTGCCCTGGTCAATGGAAAGGACTAATTCCCGCGGTTCATTCATTCACGCGTGCTTAGCTTCATAGCCACAAGGCAAGGCTTCCAGGAAACCTTGAAACACCAACTCATTTGGGTATGGGTCAAAGTTAAACCACCAGGAAATGGACCGCAGGTATTTGTCCTTTCCATTTACCAGGATTCATTCCATTTTGGGGTCACCCAAGTTTTGACAACCACCGCCCATTTACGAAACAAAACAACACCACGACCCGCTTCAGCGCTTCACAACATGGCGCCCTGTGCTTTGGTTTCAACGGGCGAAGCGCTGAAGCGAGGGCTCTATGCCAAGCCGCTCATCCATCAAGTAGCAGCGCTCGAGAACCACGAGAGTCTCATGCTCATCCAGCCTCACACTCCAACCGCAGTCACTGGAATGCCCCTGAAGCTGATCTCAACTTAAAAGGTGGCTTCCACTGAAACGATGGCCACAAGACTTTAGGCTCCAAAAAGCGGGATGGAGGAAGGTGCATATCATCCGCAAGCTGTTGCTTCCGGGCTCATCTCGCATCGCGCATCGCGCGTTTTTTCGGCGGCGGCGGTTGGGGTCCAACTTGCAGGTCTCTTTCTGACCCCAAGCTGGTTGGTCATCAACCCAAATACGGTGTGACCCAATCCCAAAAAAGGGATTGGAGGGAAATTCTACGTTGTTCTCCTTGTTCCCCATGCATCGGCATCGCGTGTGTCCTTTGTTCGAAAAAGGGCCACCGACGTCCGAGTGAAAGAAATGACACAAGTTGTTGCGGTCGCGATCCAAGGTTCCATTGTTCCCCTGCTGAGGAGTGGTTTGGAGCGGCTCTGGGCTGTTCTTCTGGGCCTTGTGCGGTTAAGGATATCGCTGTGGGACTTTCTTTGGAGAAAGGGTCATTGATTTCTGCCTTTTGGTTGCCAATGCTCAACTTTTGGAGAAAGGACAGATATGCTAAATTCTATGGTTGCACGCCGAAGCCCCGTCCTCACTTCTTTCAAGGCTCCTAAGGTAGGGCTTGTTAAAAGGATCCTGAAAACGACAAGAAATAAACCAGTTACATCCAAGCCAGCTTCCAACAAGCAGATGCTCAAATCAGCGTTGCTCGGAAATGCCTGGCAAGAATGGAAGCTGTTAAGGGAAATAAGGGAAACCAAGGGAAACCATACCAACAGGCTTCAGGTCTGGTTATCCTCAAAAGGCTCGGAGCAACCCAAAACGGACAGCGCCCTCCCGCTTCAGCGCAAGTCTCAAGCCATTGCCATCCAGGTCATAGGTGGCTGCTATCAGGTAGAAGGCGTCCTGCCAAAATTGATGCTCATGGGAGCCCCAACAAGCCCCAAATAATTAAGGCCTTATAGGCTTAATAAGGGCTTATTGGGGCTCCCTCCCCCTCCCCTCCCTCCCCCCCAAGCCCCCATGAGATGTGACACGCCTGCAGATCGGCACAAGCTTCGATTCTTCTGAGGGGTTAACCCACTGTTTAGTTTGGTTCGCGTGAATTCGCCGTAGGAGCAGGGCTCAAACTTTGACCATGGCTAGCCCTACTTGGGTTCTGTGGACAGTGCGCTTAAAGCGCACTCCAGGATGAATCCACAAGATTTGCATGCATCTTTAAAGCGCATGGAGATGAACAGTTGGAGGCTTTGAGGCCAACCACATTGGAGTTCAACGCCATTCACAATTTCCAGTCACGGATCCGTGATCATCTTGGTCTGTAAAAACGGCCCTTTTGTCGGCAGGGAAACCAAGAAAATTGGGACCCTGCTTGCAAAGTCACGACCCTTGGATCGCAGAATTGTCCTCCAGGTTGGGCGCATGCACCGCAAAGGCTTTGCGTGGATTCACCTTCATCTGCTCCTGCGAAAGCGAAGAGCAACTGATGCGAGCGCAGAAGCTTGGGTTGTATGTGGGAATGACTGAAAGTGGGACCCTTTATCTTTTCTTACAACAGCGGCTTGCTTTGCAAGTGCATATGCAATTGCATATATACATTTGACATTGAACAGTATGCGCAGTGTATCGACTGTGCTTGATATTATGGGGCGAAAGCCAAGCTTGCAACTCGCAATCAAAAAATATTTGGTTTAGGGCCACGGGGACTGACACTTCCCCGATCTTGCTCCAATGGGTCTGTCTTTTGTAGAGGGCACCCTTTTTGGCGAGTTTGACGAGAAACCAAAGGAACCCCACCATTTTGGGGGGTTCCCTAGAAAGAGACACACCCCAAGAACTACACAGAACGCCACCCACTCGCAGCACAGATCAGTCCTTCTCGGATTGCCTCGGGGTCGCGATGCTCATCGGTTTGGCAATTATAATTTCCCATTGGCTGTCCCAATTCCCATTGATTAAGCGCTTAAGAGCAGGAGCCAAACAAGTCTGTCCAACTTTAGAGTTAAGTCTGCATTCCATCGACAATGGCTATCTACGTTCACCCAACTTAGCAGCACATTCACTTTTTAACCACCAAGAAAAGGGGTAGCCTCAAAGAGGACACTCCCACTTGCGCTGTCGCCGAAATCTTCGTTGGCAACGGTCTCGCCTTGCCATTTGCCTGGTTCTGACCCTCTCACATCGGGTTCACCTGCGACTGGCCAACCCCTTGCTTAAACAGTAATTAGGCCACCTACTCTTTGAACAACCTAAGGATAGTAAATTGACCAAACTCAAAAGATCTGCCCAAAAAGCTTCAAGCCCAGGAACTCAGGAAGTGAGTACCTGGGGCTGGTGGTTTCAACATCATGTTCCCCACTGCCGCCGCGGACTGCTGTCGTCAAACCAAAATCCCAGCGGCACAATCTGTGCCCAGTCCGACACCAGCTTCTTCCGCCGTGCCACCTGCGCAAACCATCGAGTCGCACATCAAATGCCAAAAGAACAATCAGCAGTTATCCTGTTCTTCTCCAACACTCGGCATTGTGCATGTTGCAGCTTCCTCACAGCCCTGTGCAAGGTCTCAGGCTCCCTGCTACTTGGGTATGTGTCAAAATAGGGATCTAGACCCAAAAACGGATTTCGGTTTGCCTTTTGATGTCCCTTCAACACAATCTCAAGGGTGCCGAGCCTCAAAAAGATAACCACACACATGCACATTTTCTGTGAAACCTCCAGAAGGGACAGGAGTCAACTCCGGCCTGCTCATCGTTGGTGGTGTCACCTTGCCAGCACTTTTCTGAGAGACTGGCACCTAAGGAGATACTTCACCTTATCCAATCCTCCATTTGCTTTTTTCGTCCCCGGGAAAAATGAGAAAACATGTCCAGTAGTGATAGAGTCCATTTAAAGCCAACTGGGGAAAAAAAAAAAACAAGAACAAAAAACACATCCTTAAGAAAATGGAGGTAATCCCCTTGCAACCATGAGAGTACGAAACAAAGCCCTGGACGAAGGCCGATGCAATTGGGGTCCTCTTGTTCTCAGGGGCTCTCCAGTCTGCTCGTGGGTGCTATAGCATGTGTGCAATATGCATTGGTTCGCTCCTTGCGCCTCTGCGCTGCTCTTGCCAGCTCTAGATTGTGATGTTGAGTGATCTCTAACTCAACCGCCTTGCTTGTGTTTGCTTGCCTAGCCGTGTTGCCTGTTGTCACTGGTTGATGTGAAGCCTTGCTGTCGCACCATTGTGCTCGCTTCTCCATGCTGGTTGTTAACATGTGCAAACTGCGTCACTGCTCAACGCTCTGTCTTGGCCCTTCATCCTTGCGAAGTGTTGCTCCTGCCGGGACAATTCAGGTCCCGTTGGGAAAGGATGTGATTTTTCAAATGAAACCGAGAATGGGAAGCAAGTTGGGCGCATACCGAAAGCTGACAAGCTATAACTTGGGCACGCCTTTGTCTATGCTGAGAATGCTCGCCATTTGGCATGTCTGTGTGTGCGTGTAAGTTTGGTGGCTTCTAAAAGCCCAAAGGGCAAACAAGCTTCCCCCTTAACCCTGACACATATTTAAGTCGCAATCAAAACCTGGTATTCAAATGGTCTACTCAGAACCCTGTGAGAAAGTAAAAAGGCGGCTGCACCTACGGTTGGGATGATCCCTTGCTAGAATTCATCTACCTGGGTTTTCGTCCGTTTCAGGTTGGAACCACCCCAGCCGGCCAGCCGGGGGCCGGACGCATCTTGCCAGTTCTTTGGTCGTAGAGGCTGAACTCCTCAAGAAGTTGGGCCAGCCCCTGGATACGTTCAAACAAAATTTCCCAGTGCTTCCAGTTGCCAGTATATAGTAGGTAACCAAGGGAACACATGATGAAACTTAGAGGTAAGAAACCCTGGATACCTACTATTTAGCGGAAACTGGAAGCACTGGGCTTGCTCAAGCGAAACCTTGTTCAAACAACTTCCCTGTGGTTTCCCCAACAAGAGCTTGCCCACCCCCCAAGGGAGACCCGAGATCGCAGGAAAACATCCCGGAGTCTTCCCACCTTGCGCAATGTGTGACGTGCAACCCTGCAACCAAAACACCTGATTTGGGGTGTGGGTCAAACATAGGGTAACCCCAAAATGGAATCCTAACACCCAAATCGGGACAAGGTGCCATCTACGGATTCGTTTGGATCCTCTACTTGGAATGGCCTTTTTTTGCGCAATCGGAGCTCAAAGGGCCGCCCAAAAGAGACACACACACAACTCATCCACTGAAGAAAGACACCCCAGCGCTGCCAGACTTCACGACATGGACGTCGATATCGCTCCCACACGGCTCTGCGCAGCTCCCCTATTTGGAAAACATGGACTTCTGAACGTCACACATGTCCAGATCGATTGACATCTAAAAATACAAAACAACAACAACTACCAAGCATCAGTGTTGCGAATATGTATCTTCGCTGACTTGGTACAACGAGATTCCGAGATGCACCCTCACAGAGACAATGAAAACACAGCCAGACACGCAAAAAAACACACACACACACACAACAAAAAACACAAGACATACCCCGGGGCTCCTAGTGGGTGGGATTCATGTCAATCCTCTCCAAGCACAACCAAATACTCAGAATCGTCGAAGTCACGGCCACTTGTGTGGGCGAGGTTACCCCCCATGGAACGCAGTCCATCCACGAAGTCAAAAAGTCACCGCCAAAATTTGCCTGCATGTAACGCACAATCATTTCAATGAAAACATGTTGTCAAGAATCTGGCAAGTCACTGCCACAGAGAAACGCATAGTTTTTCTGCCGCGGAAAGCAAGCAAACTACATGGAACGCAGTATGCAACAACTCCCCTAAGACTTAGCACCAGATTGCCGCAAAAGTGTAAGAGATGCATGTAAGTCACATATCCCTGTTTCAACTTCAAAATTTGAAGTCTTGTCGAACACTCACTTGCTGAGTTGATTGGCTAGAACAAGTCTAAACTTGTGTTCGTCAGTAAGTTGGTCTTCTCAAACAGTTTAAAAGGCCAGGAACTCATTAATCAAAGAACTGTCCAAGTTGAAAACAAGGAACAACAACAAAAACAGATCCGGCAAAGGCCGCTCCTCGATCCGACGCTCATCCTCCAAACTGCATCCGCCCTGCAAGGCTGGAGAGTGAGTTGTCGCAATCTTCCCCAAACGCCGACGTCTGTTGCTCCCCGCTTTCCCTTCCGCCAATTTTGGCGCCTGTGGGACCGGAATCAAGTAGTGTTATGTTGGGAGTGAAAAAAAACACATCCGTTGCCAACGCAGAAACCGCGGTGGATTTCTCCTTCTTTCGAGTTCCCGCCAACCGAAAATCCTCGGGACACCCTGATCGCCCGTTTTCGAGATCGCGAAGAAAGGCGCGAGGAAGGTAGCAAGAAAAAATCAATAAGCGGAGAAGCTGGTGGCATCAAGGTTCGTGCCCCCGAGGAGTCGGGTGTTTCTTGTATGCAAAATATTCGTGTTGTTTTTGCAGCGGGCAGGAATCTCGGTTCCAGAACAATTACTGTAACAAAACTCTGACATTCAGATCTCTTGCCCGAACACAAATATCTCCGGCCGTTTTTGCTAGGGGCATAGTAGGGGTCAACACCATTGCAGCAACAAGTCACAGGACAGATTCCACTGGCTTCATGGCGCCAGAATAACACATGGGGGGACGATTCATCTCAGCAAACGCGAAGCGCAGCTCGCAGTCAAACATGACACTCAAAAGCATAACTGGCAGCCTGCAAGACATGTCCAGCACTGATTGCACAATTAGCAATGACTCTGTCTCCCTATACACGAGACTGCCCCCTAAATGACACGAACCTCTATGTGCAAGAATCCCAATGCAGCATGTTCTTTGTGGCTGTACAAGAAACCATTTAACTTGCTCGTGCTCCGTAGGGAATGACCCAGGGATTCGGGATGAACCAGAGGGGATTCCCCTAATGTATAGGGGATATTTTGTAGTGGTCATTCCCTCATTCCCTGCCTATTGCACCAGCAAGTTAAGTGCAGCAAAGTTGACCCATTGGCTTCACTGGCCGTTGCGTGAATCTTCAGGTTTCCCTTGGTGGAAAATGCGCCCTTGCGGGGCCAAAGCTCCTGAAAGACGCTGTGGCTTTCACCTGCCGTGAGCACTGGCCCTCGAAACCCTTAGGGGACGGAAGATTTGACCACATGTGGCTATGGGTCAAAACCCCGCACCCCCAATGAATATCCAAGTCCCTACTAAAATAGACTAAAATGGGTGGTGCACCTACCCCAAAGTGGTACCATGTTTTGACCCACAGCCATGTCTCCCAAATGGTGTTCTCCCTTTTGGTCTCCCAATAAAACAACCCAAAAAGGGTAGCCTCAAACAAGACACGCCCACTTGTTCACCTGTTTCCACCACCGGTCAGAACTAGGTTCAAGGCGATCCCGCCCGGCCCCCCCTCAATTCATCAAACATCTTGGATTGGAGCATTGCTGTTTAGGCTTCGGACTCCATTTTGCACTCACAAATGGTCCCTGGGGTTCAGGCAGCTTGGGGTGGTATCACCACATTGTTCACCGTGGATTGGCATCCAAATCGGGGTTCACCATTTCTTGGCCATTTCTTGCAATGGGGGTTGAGTCCTATGATTGTTGCTTTGACCACCAGCCACGATCCTTTCTAGGAATGTCCCGATTATCTTTTTCACTATCTATGCTAGGCGACAGCCGTATGTCTAGAATTGATTTTCGTTGTAGTCTTAATGGAAGGGCCGTACAAGCGTCTTGATAGAGCGCTGTCCCATGTCTGCACATGCAGAGTGCTTCTACTGTCCTACGATGCAATTTAGTTTTACCTAATGAAGAACAAGCTCCATAGCTTGAAAACTCTCTATCGCGCATTTGCCGCATTGCCATTTGTTACTTCCAGGCAAATCCAGTAGCTCTTGCAATCCAACCGATTCCCTAAAGATCAAAAGAGGTCTAGGAAGACAGCTCGCCAATGAAACGGGAACCCGAAGAATCGGTCATCGGATTCTCGCAAAACCCACACGGCAATCCCTGCAAACAAATGGATGAGTCTTACTGGCGAGAGATTGGAACCCTAGGGGTCCTGGGGCTTGGAGGTTCCCCTACCACACCCCGAGCTGTACGGAGCTGTAGGTGTAGGGGTGTCGAAAGGACCGATTTTGGGGTCCCATGTTCCATCAGCACCAGGGCCACCACGAAAACCAGAAACCCTGCGCTATGTTCAAAGCCAACTGACCTTAAAGGACTCTGAAGCCAGACCTCCAATTGCTTAAGACCCTCGGATTTTTTTTTTTTTTTTTTTTTTTTTTTAAGAAGAAGAAGAAGAAGCTGTCCTGCAGTAAGAGATTCCCTTTCAAACCAACAGGAGAGCATATAACATATTTAAGCAAATGGAAGCAGCGAAAACATTTCTCAAATAGGCGAAAACCTAGGAATCGCCCCAAGCCTCCCCCTGCACCCCAGGATTCCTTCTTGGAGCCCTTAGAAAACACATCTGGTGAAACGCAAAACATGTTGAGACATCAAGAGGGTAATGTGCGAACCCTTTTGGGGGGTGGGCTGTCCTCCCGATGATTGCATTGTCAAAGTCATGCCCCAAGTGGTAGAGTCAAGGGGAACAACAAGTTGTCTGACCTTCACCCCAGTCATCTCTCAGGTTGTAGATTCAAGGGGAACAAGAAAGTGTGACCCCCAGAAATCATCGACAGCTTCAACCCACTTCGCCCAGCCGGGCAGCCTCCTTCCTCGTCCAAGGCCTGACAGGCCAGAAATGCTACCTCATAGAAACGTGGGGCGTTTCTCCAAACGGAAACTGTTGGCTTACTTCTGCTTTACCTTGAAAACCATCACGGGTTCCCAAATTTGGAGACGTACCCATTTCAATCGACCTGGTGTGAGGGCTCGTCTTGAAGGACTATGCGGAGGTTGCTCAAGACAAAGTACATAACAACCAAACAGCATTTGTTCTGGTCCAGATAGACATGCATGATGACTCAAAGCATAACCCACCTTTCGAGCCTCTACACTCAGTAAACTAGTCACTGAGCGATATGACAAATTGCTGCAATGTGCTGATGGCTTGCAACTTGCATGTGTCTTGTCGTGCAACACGGATTGGATTATTGACGCTCTTGCAACCGTGAATGGAAGTATTGCTGAGTGGGAAAGTATCCCTCCATCTTATGGCCAGGTCGTTGACCAATCATTCCTCAAAGCACGAACCGAACATGGGGTTCCTATTTTGAACCCCACACAGTTGTTCGGTTGGCACCGCAGTGCCATGTTGCTTGCTATACCTGTGCTGCTGATGGATCTTAGTGGGCCTGCCAACAAGCAAAGCCCAGGTAAGACGACCCCTTTCATCAGCTATGACTGGAACGAGTTAGGTTACAGCGCTTGAGCACTTTGGTCGCTGCTGCCTGCTTCTGCGCAGGTCGGCCTACGATCATCGTTACTGCCCCTTACTGAGCTGGGACTGCCCCTTACTAAGCTTCATCTACCCGGGTTTTGAGCGAGTGGCTCACGTGTCTTCCCCTCTTTCAAGCTCAATCATCGCCACTGTCTTCTCCACGTCTAAGGGTTGTGTTGCCATGTCTTTCAACCATCGTTCTTTTCAAAAACCGGCTCTGTTTATCCGGGTTTTTGACCGTTTTCCTGAAGAGAAAAGGATCCCTGGCAAGACTGGACATGGAAGCTACCCCCAGAAGGACCAACAACCGGACAAGTCCAAAATCAGAAAGCCTACCCCTGCAAAAAACAAAAACAAAAAAAACAGCGAACCACTGGACCCCCAGACCACTGGCTTCAGATTCTTGGCTCGGGCGCACCCCCCTGCCAACCTCCGCGTCCGGCTCCTCCTCTTGCGCCAGCTCCGTCAGCGGTGGCTCGCCCTCAGCGCCGTTCGATTCTCCACAAATTTCCCGTTCGATGCTCCGTTCAGGATTTGTCGGGTCAATCCCATCCTTTTAAGGGCTGAATCCTAGAACTGTGTCATAGTCTTAGTGATACGAATGCGGCAATTGCTTCGCCTTTTGATCCACGACGCCAAGGGGTGACTTTATGCGGTTGCTTTCTGCTCTCCTGCGAAAAGTGACTAACTTTTAGTGGTTTAATGGAAAACCCACTAGTTGTCAAAAAGTTAAAGTCCTAACATCCTAGCAACATGCACCGAAGCTACCAGAAGGAACCCCCAAATCGCACTTCCGAACCAGAATGAACCACCAAATCGAAGAACTTCCCAAGATGCTACTCCAAACTTGAGAATTATCCTCTAAAATGGTTGTCCCAAAAAGTATGAACTCCAGGAATCAGCAGATAGCTGCCAGTCCCATGCATCCGGATTTCCGATTGATTCCAGGGAAAACAAAGAGTTTAAAGAGCCGAGATGCTACCTCTTTGTGATGCTCATGAACGATCATACCGACACGAGCAACACTTTGCCATCTTGGAATCTTGGAACAACTCGAATAACTGATCAACAAGCCTCAATAGTTGCGTACATGAGCCATAGTCAAAACTCGTTCTGTGAGCCTTGCAAAAGAACCTTACTGATGGCAACAATCCCTATTAAAGGATTGATAACCTGCCGTTGTAAACCCAAGAAGGGAGATATGACCATGGCGCACAATGACAGCTTCCTGTGGCTTCATTGTGCTGTCCCACAGCATGGCAACTTGTTTGCTGCCTGGTGCTCGGACCGTCCTTCGGACCAGAAACTGGCCCACGAAAGGAAAAGCCAAATCGGCTATGAGCCCTACAAATCGGGGGGAAAATAATGGTTCAGGTTTTCAGAATCCAAAGCCATTCACATCTCGCCTGTCGCTTTTGACTGCAAATTCTGGAATTGGGTGAACTCATGTGTTTGGCTGTTTGTTGAACAATGGACTATATGCTATTCCGGTTGCAACCGGCTCTTTTCCACTTGGGTTCTGGCTCTTTGGGGGGGTTCTGGTTCGGGGTTTGGTGCTCTGTTGCAAGACACGTGTGCTCGCGCCGCCCCGCTGCCATTTTTTCGCGCGGGCCCGGCCCCATCGGGCTCTTGCGACGCCTCTCGGCAGCAATATCCTTTACATCAGGCCTCAAGACCCCATTGCCTAAGATAGCTCTGAACAATTTCAGAACTGCGATCTCCATGATTGATGACCCACCTTAGCAGATCTAGGTAGACGTCAACCAGCGAAACTGTTAGTCAAACGGCCATCTAAACTTACCTGGTCTGTGGTCTAGTTCCTGTCAAGCAGCTGCTTTCTCGCCTCGCAAGCTGCCTCGTAGGTGTTGAAACCCTCCTTCTTCGCCTTGACCCAGGCACAAGAGTATACCTTAGTCCCAATTTGCGCATCAAGTCTGAAGGATTACCAAGCAGCACTGTGATAAATTAATTCCCAGCTGCCGAAGCCAGCTTTTTCTTCAACGCTTGGTTGTCCAGGGGCACGTCACGGCTCTCCTTCTTCTTGGCACGCGTACTTTTTGGCGATTTGCCCCGCTTCTTCTGAGGGCTATGCTTTTCAGCGCGCGACTTCTTTTTAGGCTGTGGCTTGGCCTTTGCCTGCCTGGGCTTCGCCGAGCGCTTGCGCGTGTGCTTGGCGTTGGTTGGCGGTTCTTTTTCAGCTGATGATGGTTCTTTTTCTTGTTGTTTGTCGACCCAACCTGGAGGGAGCTCTGGCTTGTCCATGATAACCTCCACGTCGCTGTGCGCGCTGCGTTCATCATCCTGTGCGCTCCAAGGCTGCGAGTTGCGCTCTTGCGCGCTAAGTTCATGCGATGTTTCTGGTGTCCAGGCAAGCGCAGGGTCCTCTTTCAACTCCTCATACTCTTCCTGCGTGTTCGCGTGCTGTGTCTCACACGGATTGCTGCAATCCTGCATGTTTGCGTGCTGTGCTTCGGTCTCACGATTGCTCAAAGTGCAATCCTGCGTGCTTGCGAGCTGTGTCTCACACTGGTTTCCCGAGGTGCAATCCTGCGTGGTTGCGTGCTGTGTCTGACACTGGTTGCCCGAGGTGCAATCCTGCGTGGTCGCGTGCTGTGTCTCAGACCGATTGCAATCCCGCATGTTTGCGGGCTGTTCCCCCTCGACTTTGTCAAGAGGCTGTGTTGCATGATCGTGCTGAGTATTCGTTCCCAAGTCTAAGTGTAACCCCTCAACCTTGAACTTTGGCATGTTCAAACTGCGGGCCACTGGTTTCCTGGACGCTCGAAAAGGTGTGGCCTGATCAAAGACAGCTTGCTTCGCGGACAGGTAATCCATATAGTCCAAATCAGTGCCCAATGTCTGAGCAGATGATTCCCAACCATCGCTCAAGATAGATGAAGGTTCCTGCACCCATCAAATGTCCAAATTTGTTGCGGTAAGGGTTACAACCAGTGGAAAAAACACGAAAATCTGTGTTTGAGGAGTCAAGTAGATGGGAAGCCCTCCGTTTCAAAACGCCTGAAGTTTGATCTTCTCAACCAGCGAGTGTGGGGAGTGGCGTGGGCAAATCGAGTTGGAAATTGACTTGCGACGGGCTCCTTGTCAAGGCGTATGGACTCCACGTCATCCTGCGGCATGACTCGCACTACCCTGCTTGTGATTGAAAGCTCAGGACTGGCATGCGCGTCCTGAAAGAGCATTCGCGGGCACGGTCCATCAGGCAGGGGTCTCCGACGCCCGCACAGTTCCTTCTTTCATTTCAATTTTGTTTGGCAACTCAGTTGAGGCCCGCTATCAATGCCAAATGCCAAACTCTTCCCGGCTAACTAATGGTCGCGCCAAGGTTCTAAACGGGGTGTCGAACTTGAGTTGCTTCCAGACTCCGCATGCCCATCCGGCGACGGGTACTGAGTTGGCGTTGCGACATCTGGAGGCCTAAGTTCTTGACACTCTCGTAGATTGCATTTAGAAACAACTTGGTAAATGTGGTAAAAGGGTTGAAGCCGTGTTGCCCAGCATCCATCGGTTTGCCAAACATCGCTGCAGACAATTCCGCGGCATACTCATTCATATCGGTCCTGGTGGGCAAGAACTGGGCATTCAGTGATGGCAATGTGTCCCCTTCTTTTTCCAAAGGCCCATTCTCGAGGGGGGCGGGGCTTCGAGATACAATTTCCCACGCAGTTTTGTTTGGCAAACTAAAAACCAACTTGCTACATCTTTTGGCTCAACGTCAGCAGAGGTGTGCAGAGGAGGTTTCTACCTTTCAACCAAAAGCCCAGGGGTAGTTTGTCACTGCGACCGCTCTCCTTGATTGTCCATCGCACAGCTGGTTGATCTCAAACTCAAAGGGCAAGGTCTCCTGAGGACACACGGCCAGGAATCAATCAGTCGAAGGGGCTGAGAGCCCTGCCTCGCCGCAACTTTTCTTGGCAGGTTTCTTCTTTGCAGCTGCACGACCCGAAGCAGGCCTCTTCATCCCTTTAGACTTCTTGTTTGACTGATCACCGTTTGGGTTGGGGCCCAGCAAACTGTCAAGCCCTGAAAGATCTCCGTCAGACTCATCCTCCGGGTCACCACCAGTTCCACCAACAGGCGAGTGGTTAGGATCGGGTGCTTCCTCCTCCTCCTCCTCATCATCATCCTTAGGTTTCCTGGATTTCTTCGACTTCTTCTTCTCAAAGCCCTTCGCTGGGGGGCGCTCTTTGTTCTTCTTGGTTGTCTTCTTTTTCTCCGTTGGCATGTCAGACTCATCAGAAGAGAAACGTGGCGGCAGCTTGTGCACGGAAGAACCACCTCAGACTCAGTCCGTTGCAGTTAACTCGGTTGGCCTTAAATAAGCGATTTCTTCAGGCAAGGCGCTGGCAGGCGCAGAGTCTGGTGTTTGTTTCTCCTTCTTTGGCGCAGGTGTGCTGCGCTCAGGTGGATGAGAGGACGGGGCAGGGTTGGACGCGGCTGGGCTGGTGCCATCTTGCAGGTTCAGCATTTCGGAGAAGTTGAAGGCCTCAACAAACAGCAAACTTGGAGTGAAACGCCAAACTACTGGCTCACATCCTTGACAGTCACAGACATGGCACTGGGGGTCGGAATTCTGCCTTTGGTGTCAGCATGTGGATGCTGTCATCATCACTGTCAGCCATTGCTGGGCGAACCCAAATTAGGATGAGGCCCGCAAAAATCACTTTGATCCACTTCACATCCAATGTTACAACTTGACAATGTTGCGCTCAAAGCTTGCAAGCAAAACGAGGTGGAGCTGTTTTCAACTTTCCGCTGAGCAAGCATGGTTGGTGTAAGCACGGTCCATGTGACCGTGGTCGCTGTAAACCCTACTCCTGCTGCTAGCCAAGTATCACTGCAACTGAGGTTCCGAACCTTCAAGTCATTGCTCCTAGGTTGGGGTCATCATAAAAATGAAGCAGTGGGCCCCCTTGGCTTGCAAGACAGGGGCAAACATGTTGCAAAAAATAATGGCCCGACCTGCGAGATGTGAACAACACAAACAACAGCGCACAGGCTGAAATGAGCATTTGCCCCTCAATTCAGCAAGAGAGAAAGTTGAAGCGGGCCAGGCCGAGCAAAACATCACTACGGGTAGTGATCTGGACCAGCATTTGCTTATGTCCCGGTAAGCTCGCACAGAGCCGCTACATGAGCTTCACGATGACAGTTCCAAGATCCAACACACCTGACAGGATAGCCACCGGCCTGATGGGCATGATCGACTTCGAGCCGGAGGCGCCAGTCTCCAGCCTGGGCACAGACATCTAAGAACACAGAAACCACCCTTCAGAACTTGATAAGCTCCTAAAGGGATCATCTAGGGGCCCTGCCGGCAGCGCCACGCCAGCATAAGCTTGGATGATGATTTGAAGCCGGGGATGGACAACTTCGCCCCAAAGCTCTTAGCACTGATTTCCCCCTTCTTCTTCTTACTTCCCTTTTTCTTCTTTTTGTGGCCCTCATCATCGTCGGCATCTT